TGACGAAGATTGTGACTCTCCGTCCCCCATTCTCGACACATTCTATCAGAGTGGGGGGTCTGCGTCAATCGTCCAAATGACAAACTTTAATATTCGGCAATTTCAAAGCATTTGGACGACGTTTGCGGATTTTATAACGTCAAAATTCAATGTCGGGCGTGGACGCAAATCTCCGTTTACGGGCAAAGACGTTTTGTTCATAGTGATTACGGTCCTCAAGCACGGCGGTAATTGGGACCTCCTAGGGCGTATTTTTAAGATCAAAGGGCCAACTTTCGAGCGTCTTATAATGAATTTCATCCGTCTAATAACGGATGAGTTCTATCTTCTGTTTGTAGTCCAGACGATGGAGCATCACAGCATGACTGTATTGGAAGAGAAAGCGAAAACCTTTAGCAATTTCAGGTATGCGTTGTACGCAACTGACGTGATGTTTCAGCATACGAATCGGCCATCGGGAAATCATGAGGAATCTAAAAAATATTCTTCGGAGAAGCACAAATTATATGGGTATAAAGTAGAGGTTTCGGTCTTACCGACCGGGTTTGCGATTGATTCTACACAACATTATCCGAGGTCCTACTCGGACATCGATATTATGCACCGCAACAAGACTTTTCACGACACAGCCTTGCGAAAGTGTGACGAAGAGGGGCAAATGACACATGGTGGACTTTATTCGGAGGAGTTTCCGGAGCATTGGTGCCTTATTGCAGACAAATGTTACCAGGGGGCAATGGAATTTGTGCGCGCCGTTACACCCCACAAGCGTCCTGCCCGTGGCATGTTGTCTTTCCAGGAGGAATCTTTTAACCGCAAACTATCTTCGGATAGAATCATAGTGGAGAATTTTTTTGGGCGTCTATGCTCGCTTTGGGGAGTGGTTGGGAGCAAGTATCGGTGGAGTGAAGCCAATTATGATCCCATTTTTAGGCTCTGCCTAGCGCTGACAAACGCGCATGTTCGTGTCGACGGCCTGCGTTGTGACGATTTGGACTTCTATCAGCGATTCAAAAATCGCAACTACAGTATCGGGGGTGACCTTTTAGAGAAGCGCAAATTGCGGCAAGAACGCTACTGTCGCAGGCGTCGACAAAAGATGGATACCAGGTATCGCAGCATGATTGGTTCTGACGAAGACACTCAGTCTCGGTGATTGGTGCGCTAGGATATTTGTTGCTGCAAACTATTTTTGATATGAAATAGGTGTTGAGTAATTACAGATATGTCGGAAAACAATAAATTTCAATTGCAATACCAAAGCCTCTGGCCTAATCATTTTATGAGCACTTTGACGGGCGTCATTTGAAATGTCTAGACAATTATGCACCGAAAGGTCTTTGCGCAATAGCTCGATATTTGT